ACCGTAATGAACAGGTACGATGCACGATGGTTCTTTCCACGTTCGATCATCTGTCCTACAAAGTTAAATCTAGTCGCGTTTTGCAAAACGGTAATAGGAATTAAAGGTTATATTACAGTATTAGTTAGAAGCGATCAAATCGAGCGTAAATTAAATATATACATTACAGAAATAGATAGGAAACCGCTATTAAGTAGAGAATGGATACACCAACTCGCTGTTCCAGGCGGAGTGCCTGATTTTCTAGACTGCAATGCCGTGAATAATATAGAAGATAAGGAATTAAAATTAGAAGTAATGTTAGAAAGATACAGAGATTTAAAATCAGACGAGTGGGCGAAGATAACTGGAGTGCAAGCAAAGTTAAGGTTAAGTCCTAAATCAACTCCAATATTTCTCAAGGCAAGACCGGTGCCATTTAAGTTAATTACATTACTAGATAAAGAGTTAGAAGAGTTGTCGCGGGTAGGAGTGCTTACAAAAATTGAAAACTCGGAGTGGGCAACGCCGATAGTTCCGATTCTAAAATCAAACGGTAGAATACGAATATGCGGGGATTACAAAGCTACGGTAAACCCAAAATTAATTGTGGATGAGCACCCACTTCCGACAATTAACGAAATATTTGCAAAATTAGCAGGCGGGATAAAATTCTCCAAAATAGACTTGCGTCAAGCATATTTACAATTGGAGGTAGACTCGAAAAGTAGTGAAATACTAACATTGAATACACATCGCGGATTATTTAAAGTAAATCGATTAATGTACGGGATTGCGTCCGCACCGGCAATATGGCAGAGAACCATAGACAATATATTACAGGGAATTCCAGGAACGGCGGTGTTTCTGAACGACATTGTAGTCACGGGTGAGTCAGAAGCTTTACACTTACAAAGATTAGACTTAGTCTTACAACGGTTACAGAATCGCAATATAAGAATAAATTTAGAGAAGTCAAAATTCATGATGGATGAAATACAATATTGCGGATTTACATTACGAAAGGATGGAATACTTAAAGATAGGGCCAAAGTCGAAGCGATTAAAAGTATGCCGCGGCCTAAAAACGTGCAAGAAGTGAGAGCATTCGTTAGAATGATAAACTATTACGGGAGATTTATACGTAATTTAAGTGCGATACTGTATCCGTTGAATCAGTTATTACATGTAAAGGTTCCGTTCATATGGTCTAAAGCGCAGGAACAAGCGTTTATAAAAGCGAAAGATGCTTTTCTAAGTGACCAAATATTGGCACACTACGATTCGAAATTACCTCTAATTTTAGCGACGGACGCAAGCCCTTACGGAGTGGGGGCCGTCTTATCTCAGTTACATCCCGACAGAACGGAAAAAGTGCTACAATACGCGTCGCAAACGTTGTCGGACACGCAACAAAAATATTCGCAAATAGACAAAGAAGCGTTCGGCATAATTTACGGAATTAAGAAATTTTATCAATACTTGTACGGCAATAGATTCACGTTAATTACCGACCACAAGCCGTTAATACAAATTTTTGCACCGAATAAAAGTCTGCCCGTGTATAGTGCAATGAGGATGCAGCATTATGCAATATTTTTACAGGGATTTAATTACATGATTAAATATAAGAATTCTAAAGAGCACGGCAATGCAGATGGTCTCTCAAGACTACCGGTTTCAGGAAGTAATAGTAATACAGACGTAGTAGAAGCATTTCAAATTGAAGAATTACAAGAGTTGTTGTTAGATGCAAATCTTATCGAAAAAGAAACGCGTAAAGATACAAAACTGAAAAAGTTATTATGTGCATTGCAGACAGGAAAAGAGACACTTAGCGAAGATAGATTCAATTTAAGTCAGGAGGAATTTAATTTACAAGACGGAGTAATTATGAGAGGGTTTAGAGTGGTAATTCCACCAACATTGCGTACATTAGCGTTAAAACAATTACATACGGGCTATTTTGGCATAAATAAAATGAAAGCGATTGCACGAGGGTATTGCTGGTGGCCGGGCCTTGATCAAGACATTCAAAGCTTAAAAGTAGAAAATTGCGTAGCATGCAATAAAGTACGAAATAACCCACCAAAAGTGGAGCAACACATTTGGGAACCGGCGGCAGCAGCAATGCACCGAGATCACGCGGACTTCGCGGGGCCCTTCTTAGGGAAATGGCTATTTGTAATGGTAGATGCGTACTCAAAATGGCCGGAAGTGAGGATCGTAAAAAATATTACGGCTAAGACGATCATTAAAGAATGTACAAATATCTTTGCGTCATACGGCATTCCAAAAATATGGGTTATAGATAATGGAAGAACATTCATTTCCGAGGAATTTGAGAATTTTCTCAGAAGTAGAGGAGTTATATATAAATGTACAGCGCCATATAACCCGGCCACTAATGGTCAAGCCGAACGTTTATACAAACACTCAAAAATGGATTAAAACGTGCGAATGCAAACAAAAGTAATATAGCTGTCAAATTGGAGCAATTTTTGTTACAATATCGCGCAGCTCCACACGCGAGCACAAAAATGTCACCTGTGGAGTTATTTTTAGGCAGAAAAGTGCGTACTAAATTAGACTTGATTTTTCCGAGGAAAGAAGAGGATAGAGATAGGAATTAATCAGGAAATTAAAGCGAGAGAGTTGGCATTAAACAAGCGAGTAGCGTGTAGAAACTACATAGGAAGAGAGTTGTAGAAATTCGGCAGAATAATAGAAAAGATAGGCAAACTACATTATAAGATTAAACTCGACGATGATCGAATATGGAAAAGACATATTAATCAGTTACGGCCAATCGGTGACCGATCTTTAAAGTCGGAGGAGGACACTGATTACGGGCCGATAGAGGAAACATTACAGGACAATAAAGTTCAAAATAAGGAAGCGGATGCTGAAGTACAAGGCGAAGCGGTATCACAGATTCCACTAAGTCCAAACGCCACGCCACAACCAGAACATGAAAGAGACAAAGTAGATTTAAGTGATAGCGTACGGCGTTCGACTAGGAAGCGTCAACCGCCATCGCGTTACGGAAACGTAGGATCTATAGGATCCAAGATATTGTAAGCGCGAAGAAAAATATATATACATATGTAAGTGCGGCGTAAATAGTAAGCCTTTCCCAAGAAAGGAAGGTGTTAGGATAATTGATACAAATTGATATTCGAATAGGCGCGCTACTGTAATCCGAAATAGGCGCGCTATTATAATTAAGGAAGACAACAGATGGCGAAGCCGCAGCGCACCGCGCGACGTTCGCGATCAGACCGGATCGACTCGCGCACACTCTCGCCACTTCACTTGTATTCCGCCTGGCCTAACAGTTAGACGAATATATATATCCTTGTGAGCATTTATATATCATACACAAGTTACAATTCTTTCCACCGATATCCTATAAACTTAACATATGGCAACTAATTTTTCCAAAAATATGCTTATATTATGAAAATTTGGTTTTGCGATCATTGCCTCCGCACCGTACCGTCCGTCCCATTTTGTTAATAATTTTACATCCACATGATTGCGCACACTTTCCATCGTCTTGCCGAATACCGTATTATTTATCAATTTATATAAATTTTTTTCAAAATCGTTTTTCGCTTGTGTTCTAAACTGTGTGTTGAGTTCGATGTATTTTTGAAGCCACGCTGACTGCGTGAATTGTAGTATGCGGTATATTTTTGTTATGCGAAGCCCGTGGCGCGTGCACTGCTGTAGATTACGATAGTGTATTACATAGCGCTTCTTATCGTAAAGCGTTGCGAGGAGTTTATACTCCCGCTTGCTGGGCGGCTTATCGCGCGTTGGGCAAAACGGTAGGTCAATGTGTGCGTCATGAAGATGCTGCGGATACTCTAAATCTACTTCGAGAACATAGCCTATAGGTAAATCGAACTCGATATGTCAAAATTCGATACATCGTCGACCCACCGAAAATCGGCATACGGCAATGGTTGACACATTGCCCATCCGTACAAATTATTTACATCAAAATACATGAGATAAGATGAGGGTTTCGATGGGTCGTACGATTGCATGTACTTGTTATTTGCCTGTGCGTATCGGCCTGAACATTGATTAAGACCGCCGCGTATACCTCGTTCGACAAACATTACCATGTCAATGTCTGTTAATAATTCAAATTTTATATTTGTATGTTTTAACATGGCGTCCCATGTATATCCGAGGAGAGTATAATAATACGCTGGATCGAGTCCATAACTTTTTATACAACTGTCGCGAAAATTTTCAAATATATCGGCCAATAACAAGACATCAATTTTTAAATATAAATCGCTATATTCGCCTAGCGTTCGAAGAGAGAATCGGCTCCAGACGGTCTCGGCGTGCGCGTAATCACTCTCGGATACTGTGTCGCCGGTTAAGGAACTGTAAAATGAGTCGCGCGGCGGTAAACGTGTGTCTTGTAATCTGTCCACGCAGTCTATGTATTCATACGGAAAGACGCCCTTTCGTGTCAATAAATTAAACGTATCTGTCGATAAATTTTGATATTCCGAATGTAAAATTTTTAGTTTATCTTTATCCAAAAATGACGCTAATTTGTCGAGACTAGCGCTGAGAAACTTATACGAATCGATAAACCATAATTTAATATAATTTTTCGAATTATTGTCTTGCGTCAATCTAACAGTTTTCGAGAATGATATATGTATATGTTTCCTTTGTTATCGGTAGTAATTCGATTTCCCCTTCAAACGCTGTGGCTATGTTCTCGATAATGAAATGCGCGTCATAGCCGGACAGATTGTGAAAGACTATAGGAATACTAAATGATTCTTTGTAATTTTAGTTACAATTTGAGTGCGCGGAACCCTTGTACCGTCCGATGAGGTGGCAATGATCGCGGACGCGTGTATCGTCTTCGTCAAACGGTTTCTCACAAATGTGGCAATGCGTCGCGATGCGAAATTTTAACCACTCGTCAGGCGTTAAATTTACCATGGGGACATTGGTCGTTAAAATATTTTTTACACGAATTGCTAAATTTTTAAGCTGTTCGGCAAACCACGCGACGCAATACTAATTAGTCGTTTATAATTTCGTATTGTCGTAGATAATTTAGTCGTTTTCGACGAGAACGTGTACCATTGTGCATTATACCTACACGATTAAATATTATGTATGATAAAATTCGAAGGATAGGTATAGTGTTATCATCCCGAAATTATTATAACTTAAAACATGATCAAAATATGATTTTGATACTTGCGCTTTGTCGAACACTTCTAAACTTTTATTCAAGAGTACTTGTCCTGGTACACACATGCTCAAGAGATGAGTAACCGCTCCCACAGCTATGCATCCGAATCTTATCACTTCCTGAGTTTGTCCCATTTTATTGAGAAGCTACAACGTGTATGAGTTTTGACATTTTTATAAATATTCTTATTTCGGGTTTGTTCATTAATTTTATTTATATTTTTTTATTAAATTCTTATTTCGTTTTTTATCGATTTTTTTTCAATGCAAAAAGATCGATACGTACTAACAAGAATATAAACTTATATATTGCTTTATAATTCTTAACATACACACACACACTTAAGCATGCGCGCACGAAAGAGGTACGCATAAAATATTATAAAAAACTTGAAATTTTTTTATTGTAAATATTTTTAATAATTGACGTATATTAGAGAGAGAGTTTACTTGTAATCCAATTAAACTCAGAATCATTACGTTCAAAGACAAGATGAGAAACATCGCAGTTTTGAATGCTGAGTCTAGCATCTGAATGAAGCTAAAAGATAACAAAAAAATAATGATGAAATACGAGAATCTTTATGTAAAATATATGGTAAAATCATAATTGAATAATATTGATAAAATCATTATTTATAATAAAATTTTCTATAATACAAACTTTATTGCGACTTGATGTTTCTTCAAACATGCAATCATCTCGCATAATACTCTCCAGAATTATATTCTTTTATTACTATGTGTTTTTTACTCATTGTTTCCTCTTCATCGTTAAGTTTAATTTTATCAAAAATATTTTCAATACGGATGCTTAAAAAATATATATGATAAAATCACAAGCAGTCTGCATCGAGATATTTTTCAAGCCGGAATAACCTTTAATTTTTTAATAACTTAATTGAACATAAAATATATCCCTTACTTTACTCCCTTACCCTATAGCGGAAAATAAACTACAACTATGTAACACACATACTATATACATGGTATCAACGTTTACCATACATCTGATACTAACTATAGCTGCAACATAATTATGCAATAAAATCTATATATATAAGCACCGTCTGTCTGTCTGTCTGTATGTACCCGAACTACTACCGCATTTGTGGACCGATTTTCGTGAAACTGGTACCAAAATGTTGCAAATTTTTCGGGGGTGGCTGCTGTGGGTTTTTTTTTTATTTTTTAATTTTTTTTCTTTAGAGGAGGGTATGTTTTTGCGAAAAAAATCTTTTTTTGCAATATTTCTGAACACATGGTATCAAAATGTTGCAAATTTTTTGGAGATAGCGACGATGCGGTTTTTCAAGTGTTACACCTCCACCCACGCACTCACTCACGCATTCACCTACACGCATGCGCATTTATGGACCAATTTTCACGAAATTAGTACCAAAATGTTGTAAATTTTTCTGAGAAAACTACTGTTTTATTTTTTTAAGTTTACGCCTTCCCCCCTCCCCCCCCCCCGCACCCACCCACGCAATCGCATATTTATGAACCAATTTTTTTTTAAATTGGTACCAAAATTTAACGTATAAGACGGGCAACAAGAGCCAAATCGCGGATGACAATGCGTTATCTTAACGAAACTAAATAATTTTCCGTTAGAATTAAATACCGGTGCACAAGGCACCAAATTTTTACTTGGACACGGCCAAGATTTTAAATATGAAATAATCTCATATTTGAGATTTAATTTCAATACCCCTTTTAACCCCCCTACGGAAAATAAATAAATAAATGCAAGAGAAAAATATAGATCCGAAAATCGCTGAATCGGGAATCGAACCCGAGACCTTTCGCTTGCCGGGCGACTGCTCTTCCAGCTGAGCTATTCAGATCCTTTCGATTCTATACTTTTCTCTGTTATATATATTAATGTTGGTAAACAAACGCATTCATTTATTTATTTTCCGTAGGGGGTTAAAAGGGGTATTGAAATTAAATCTCAAATATGAGATTATTTCATATGTAGGGGTCTGATGGGCGTGAGAGAGAGAAATAGAATGTTTCTCTCATCGTTTCGATTAGGATATCGTGTTTCAATGGATAGGCCAAAGGTTTAATTTATTCCAACGCAAAATGATAGTATGTATATGTATGTATAATGTGCAATTGTGAATATTACACGTCTTCACGTCGACAATTCTTCAGAGCCGTATCTTGCCGTTTTCGCCGTCGTTCGATGTTTCGAAGAAGAGAGATATGATCTGTTCTGTTCGGTTCTCTATTGTCTGTCCCGATTCCCAAAAAGTCGGCATATTTATACCCGGTGTTAAAACCTTCCCTACCCGAAACATCGGACCAATCAGAATTACCTTCGTTCATCGCGCAGAACTGTGTTTTCGGTTTTCTCGACAAACAAAGGATCGCTCAGAACGCTTTCAATAATAAATATTACAAATAAATAAGTACCCGGCACGAGGTCGACAAACAAAACACGTAAATCAGCTAATCTCATCGTCGGTTAACGTCTTTATAAAAAAATGCCTACACATATTTAAAATCTTGGCCGTGTCCAAGTAAAAATTTGGTGCCTTGTGCACCGGTATTTAATTCTAACGGAAAATTATTTAGTTTCGTTAGGATAACGCATTGTCATCCGCGATTTGGCTCTTGTTGCCCGTCTTATACGTTAAATTTATATTTATATTACAGAGCCTTGTTAAAACTCTTATATTGGTACCAAAATGTTGCAAATTTTTTGGAAATGGCGACGATGTGGTTTTTTCAAATGTTACACCTCCACCCATGCATTCACCTACGCGCATGCGCATTTATGGACCAATTTTCACGAAATTGGTACAAAAATGTTGCAAATTTTTCTGAAAAAGCTGCTGTGTGGTTTTTTTAAGTTTTATCTCACCCACGCATCCACTCACGCATTCACACATTTATTCACAGATTTTTTCGAAATTTGTACTCAAATTTTGTCGGGGATGGCTACTATATGATTTTAACAAATTTTTATCACCCTATTCATCCGCCCACGCACCCACCCACGCATCCATGCACCCATATGCATACGCATTTATTGACCGATTTTCACGAAATTGGTACCAAAATATTGCAAATTTTTAATAGAAAGCTGTTGTGTGGTTTTTTTAAGTTTTATTCCAATCACGCATCTACCCACGCATTCACACATTTATTCACAAAGTTTTTCGAAATTTGTACTAAAATTTTGTAAATTTGTCGGGGATGGTCAATATATAATTTTAAAAATTTTTTAACACCCTATTCACTCACCCACGCAACCACCCACACATCAACAAATTTATAAACCGATTTTCTCGAAATTGGTACCAAAATTTCGAATATTTTTCGGGGATCGATAATATGTGTTTTCTTTTATTTTTACCACCCTATTCACACACACTTACGCAACCACCCACGCACCAACACATTTATAGACCGATTTTCTCGAAATTGGTACCAAAATTTTGCATATTTTTTGGGGATCACTACTATGTGTTTTTTTTCACCCACGCACCAACACATTTATAGACCGACTTTCTCGAAATTGGTACCCAAATTTTGTATATTTTTCGAGGATCACTACTATGTGTTTTTTTTTAAGTTTTACAATACTACATACGCATTCACCCACGCATTCATACATTTATTGATTAATTTTCTCGAAATTGGATATCTATTTATATCTATATATCTATATATATATAAGTTAAAAAATTGAGTAAAATCTAAAAAAGGATATAATGATTAAGTAATAAAAAAAATATTTAAAGTATATATTAACTAAAATAATGTTTTATATTTAAAAAATATGAAATTGTGTGGAAATTAAAATAAACAAGAAAATAAAAATAAAAATATATAATAAATATTTAAATATATGCAAAACGCGGTGTAAAATAAAATATATGGGAGAAAGAAATAGATAACATAGTAGTCATCCACAAAAAAATTTAAACATTTATTTTGGTATAAATTTCGTGAAAGTCGGACAACAAATGTGGAAGTAGTTTGCGGTAATACAAAAAAAATTATTAATTTTTTGTGTTAAAACGGATTTAATATAGGCTATATGAGGCTCCGAAAAGCTAGTTGGATAATAATATTTCTCTTTATCTACTCCCCATTCTCCCGCAATCACAAATACTGATGGCCGTGACTCATTCAACGGTATTATGATATCTAGAACTTTTGGTAGTAATGGTATTGTCATAAACATTATTACGAATATGTTAATGTACACTGCAAAGAAAACACATGTTGCCACAATAATCTTATTATTCCTCATTATTTTTCGTAATATAGAAATGTTTTTTTCAAATTTGATATATCTTAATAAATTAATAGGGTTAAGAGAGTTTATTTGATGCACTCTAAATTAATAGACATCATTTAATGCACTTTTGCGATTTTAAATTAATTTATTCAATTACCTGAATAATTTTGTTATTTCGTGGCCAATGTTAGCATATTGCCTCAAAATGTGAAATTCGGATTCGCTATGAAAAAGCTGCCAATGTTCGTCCATCAGTTGTAATAAATGTTGCAACTAACAATAAAAAAGAAAAAAAATTAGTAAGGATTAACGAAGTAATAATATAATTTTTATTGTTTATAAACACGCGCAGTAGATTGAATATAAAATTTAGTAGTGTATAAAATATAAAAATTTGTGCCTACTACAAAAAAAAATTAATTTAAATAATTACCACATATGTATACATGACATGCTATAAAATGATTAATGATTTGGTCAAAAATTCGTGATTGTCAAAAATATTCTTCGTCGTTGAACAAAAAATGATACATGCGATTTACACATTACACATACACATCGATGTCAAACTTTTTATTATTTAGGACAACGTTAACTAATTTTAAAGTAGCACCAACAAGAAGGATAACATTAACTATACCTTCAACAGTCATACTCATATCACCCCAAGTATCATACAAGAAAAGCACCTATAAGTTAAAGACTGAACATTATCGATCGACGATACTAATAATGAGAAAGAGGGAGAGAGAGAATTATATGAAATCGCTTAACAATATTTCTTAATTTATCTGTGACATATATATTATTTACACACTTGTTTGTACAATATTGTGTTCACCTGAGTTGCAAGAACAGACATCTCGGCGCTTACAAAAACAAACGGTAGCAATATCTTTATCATCCTAGACTGATAAGGCCAAAAGCCCATCTGCGACAAGAAAAATTGATTTTTAGAGTAGTATTGTAGCATGTCCTCTTGCATGTCGCGCAAAACAATCGCGAGACTGATCGCCCTCTTGTTAGGTACCCGATTGTAAAGAAGAATGTCAAGCGAATTCAGTGGCGAGAAGGATATATCATTACGATAATTTCGGGTTGTCAGAAAACGTTTGAAATGTTTACGCTATCCACGATAGGTAGATATTCAATCAATCTATGAAGAGAGAGAGTGTGTGTGTCATTGTCCGCTATTAAATATTTATATCTCTCTTTTTCAACGAAAAACATTTCCAAACGTTTTCGAACCAACCTAAAATTATTGTAAGGATCTTCAGTCGTATAAAGGAAAATGATAGAACACGAAATTATAAATTTTTATAGACTAAAACTGACTTGGTAAACTACGGCAACGATTTTCTTCTAAGACATTCGCAGGGATATTGAACAAATAAAATACACACTCATATTTCTAATATCAGATATGTCGTTTTATTATTGTTATAAATGTTTTTTTTCGTAAATGACATTTCGTTAATATAATGATTTTGCAAAGACGTCTATATTATAACCGCGTCTTTATTTTATGGATCCTAAGGCAGTGAAGTACGACATGGCAGTTTGCATCACCTTAAAATTAGATTCTTTGCAGCGTTATGTAATAGTTATTGTAAAGAGTATTTATATTTCAACCAGGCGTACCGTAGTGAACATTGTCATTGACATAATAAACATCTTTCCTGCCGAGAGTGTACAAGGAACGAGACTTCGGTAAAGAAGTATTTTTAATAATTGTCTGCTTTTTATGGAGAAGGTGTACCACCGTGAACTGTAGCTAAAAGTTAAATACTTTTTTTACGATTATCTTCTTAGCAACTATGCAAATTGTTTATAACATTAAAATAGCAAAAAATTCAAAAATGCTTATATTAATACATGTTTTAAAGGAATAATTAATAAAGTTTTAAAGGAATAATTAATTATGTTAAGACTTCTCGTTATTTTGTTGATTGATACGGAAGTAATGAATCTGGACAGTGTATATTGTAATTGCAATGCAATTTAAGCTGTTTATGATAAAGTGGTTAAAGAACTATTATTCTAAGAACTATAATAGAACTATAATTCTTACGCCTTGTCGAAGACTTCTGTGCTTTTATCTATCAACAATTGTCCAGGAAAACACATGCATACAAGATGAGTAAGCGCACCCACAGCTATAGTCATGTATCTTACTACTTCTTCTGTATTTCCTAGTTTGTTGATAACCTGCAACAATTACGAAAAATATACATTAGTCTAAAATTCTATAATTTTAGAATAAGGCGAATTTGTCTTTTTAATTACAAATTATTTGACCAATTTAGAATTAATTTTGAAATAAAAATTAAGTTCGAAAGAAATTATTATTTGTAACTTTCTAATTTTTGGACACATACTTGTATCTTTATCATTAAATGTTAAATTATAAGTTTATTTTAAATTAACTCTACTTGAAATAATAATTAAAAAACATTATTTTTTTAATCATTTGACTCTTCTCAAAATTTAATTTTTAAAAACTTTTTTTTGATCATCTATAATTAGAAAATTATTGATGTCTTATGACATTTTTGGTAAAATCAATTTTAAATTGGGCAAAAACTGTTCTATTGTTACAACATTTGACATATTTAAACATCTTGCGTAATGCTAAGAAATCGATTTTTCAATAAAATCGTATTTTTTATCATTCTTACTTGTAATCCAATTATACTCATAATTAACACATTCAGAAATAGAAGAACAAACGTCGCTTTTGTAAATGTGGAGTTCAATATCTGAGCATATCTAAGAGAATATTAAAATAATTTAATATTAAAAATTAAATAAAATAGTTTTATTAATCAAGCAATTTTGTTATGATCATTAAAGTCATTAATATTATTATCGGCGATAAAATTACAAACTCTAATGCAAGTTGATGTTTTTTCAAGCATATTATCAGTTCGCGATAATCATCGCAATTGTCATTGATAGCATCGTATCTTTCTAATAAATGATTGTGCGTTCTTGTGCGCATTTTCTCATTATTGTTGGTTTTAACATTTATCTGGCCCATAATTTTTTTAAGACGATGGCTTGGAAATAAAATAAAATGTAAGTTATTATTTATATCAACTATTAATGTAATCTATATTGAAAACCTTTAAATTTATTTGCTCTTTTTTAAGAACAAAGAAAATTTTAAAAACATGATAAATTTATAGTTTATTTTCAATATATCACTCACCTGATAGCCGTGAATAAACTGCAAGCATGTAACACACATATTATATATATGGTATCGATGGCTAATATGATCCCGACAGTGATTACAGTCGTTAAAGAAACATGCATCAGGATCGGATAATAATATTTTTCTTTGTCCACTCTGTACTCAACTTCACATATGAATTTCAATGGCCGCGATTCATTCAATGGTCTTACGATATCTAAGATTTTCGGAGTTAATGGAATAAATAAATACAGCACCACCATTGTGCAACAGTATGCTATGAAAAAAGAGATATATTGATTTTATATTGCATTAGATATATCAAAAAATTTCTTTTTTATTTATAATTTTTTTATAAATTAAATATTAAAAACGTGAAACTTGAAAAAAACTTGATCTATTTTAATTTATAGTATTTATATTTATGATGGCATTTAATTATCACATATAGAATTTAACGTTTATATAATTACACAGCATAAAATAGAACATTGAACATTGCGCCGTTTTTGTCACATATTTAGTCATATATTTGAAACTTAAGATAATTATAAAGCATATTATTTTATTTTCAACAAAAAAACCAGCAGATAGAAAATAAAAGTTAAATAAAACAAATCTCAAAGCAAATGTTCAAAGTGACTTTCTTTAGCTAAAATATTCTGTTTATTCTTCTTAGCAATTTTGGAACATATTTATATGAACATTTTTGCTCGATGAACAAAGCACGCTCCTGAAGTAACAGCACATTTTTGTAGCACCCTCTATATTGTGTTTACACGCTCGTCTTGTCATTCGTGCAGTGACACTCGAACGAGTAGGTAGCGGCGCGATCCGCTTCTTACATCGTATTATTTCTCGATACGCGATCGCGACATATGTACATATACTACGAATTTTTACAATTAATTATCAGCTTGCGCGATTAATTAATGTTCGATAATTCGCGAGTGAGGGTGAAGGAGCTGCAAGGAATGAATAAAAAGAAAAAGTCATCGGGTGAAAAAATAGCAGGATGAGTACAATTTATAATGTTAAAACTCAATTTTAAAAAAAGTGTTGTAAATTAGCTGTTTGCGAATATATTAAAAGATTATGCGAGACGTTAGGCTTATCCAAAAATGTTAAAATAATTTTAAAATTACATTAAGTTATTTTAAAACGATTAAGTACCGTATTTAGGATATACTAAACATATTGATAATAATATTCTGATATAACATAATGGTAACATGTTAACTTTCACAGCTCGATGAAAAAAGAAATTTTAGCCCGATTTTTAGATTACTATAAGTTATTATGTAATTTTCCATCATTCTCTAAAAATTAAATGTGTAACTCATGTGATTGTAAATTGTTCAAATTGAACCAACTTCTTTCAAATTAAAAAAATGTGTTTTTAATTATATTAAAAAAACCAAAGTCAATCTTGCAATAGTGTTACGTAGGTTTTTTATTGTCATTTCAAAATATTATTCATTACCTGTGTAATATTTCGTCACCTTTTGACCAATCTCAGCATAATATTTCAAGACACAACGATCAGATTTGTTACTAAAGGCATTCCAATGATCATTCATGAGTTGCAATAAATGTCGAAACTGATAAACAATAGAAAAAGAAAAGATTAACAATAAATAAATACACATATATATTATATGTATTTAAAAACTCACTTTATCATTATATACAACAATATTAAACAATTTTGTGTTGGAACCAACGATAGGAATAATGGTAATTACACTTTCTACAGCTAGATCTACATCACCCCAAGTGTCATGTAATACAAGTATCTATGAATTAAATATACATATACATCGATCAATAACAAAAAAATAATTAAAAAATAGATATTGAATGATATATTTCTTAATGAATTTTATTTGCTAAAACGCGTTTACACTACTTGCACAATTAGTATATTAGTAGATACGTTACCACGGTTGCCATGAAAGAAAACTGTACCATTATTAAGATACATGGTAGCAGAATTTTGAGTACCTTATGCTGATATGGCCAACTACCAATTCTCGACAAGTAGAATTTATTTCTGGCATAGTACTTTTCCATTTCCGCGTGCATTATATCGCAGGTAGTTCTTGTACGAATATCTCGTCGCGAATCAGTCTTCTTTTTAAATGTCTGATATGAGGAAGAACGGACGTAGATAACAAAAACAATGTAGTTACGATAATACCGGATTGTCAAACTTAAGCGAGCCATAAAAGGCACGCATTTAGCTGATCGATATGAGATGTCTCTACATTCCAGCAATTTGCAGAAGATTGAATAATTCGGATAGAAATTGCAAATTGTTCATGAAATGATAAAGAAGTAGCATTTCTTTAGCAAAAACAATACAGTCGTTTCAGATAAGCGTGCACAGAAACGAACCGAGTAAGTTTAAATTATTTCAACTTTTAAGCAAAACATTTTTGTTGTTTAATTTTTACACCCAGGTTGGTTTGTTGTAATAATCTATTATTATGCACATATTGTTAAATATTTTATTTGTAATGTTTCAAGTGTTAAAGTTTAAAGTTATAAAATATCCTTCTCTTGGCGAAAATGTCGCTGTATTAATTAAAATTATAAATAATTAAATTGAAGTTTTATTTCAAAGATATAAGTTAAAAATTTGCAAAAAATGATGAGTTTTCTCGATATTTTCACTGAGGAAAAGTCCAAATTATCCGGAAAATCTGTTATTAATATGATATCTGGTGGTTTTGAAACATTCTATATAAATAATATAAAAATATGTTATTATATAT